GAAAAAGCAATAGAACTAAAACACCCGAGGTTGAGTGTTTGTTTTATATCAATAGATCACTTGACATTGGCAGTAATAAATCTTGTTAAGAGATGTGTTTGCCATTAACCAAAAAATAAATAAAAATAAGTTAAATATTGATGTTAACCATTTATTAAAGTTTACGTTTAAATTCGTAAACAAATTCAATTGGCACACATCGTTTTATTTTACGTAAGAGAATATTGAGGCGATGCAGAGAACCAGAATTCCGACTCACCGTAATTATTCTATGCAATTTATACATATTAATATATGTATACTTCCTGCCATTTTTTTTAATTAACAGTTTAAATTTCCTCCGCATTGTTTTTACTTAACAACAGCCATCCTTAGTTATGAAACTTTTAGAAAAATGGGTATTAATATAATTTTAGATATGATGTAAAATAAGCAAAAAACAATGTGTAAACACTATTACTGCTTGCACATTGTTTTTGCAATGAAGTTGATTGTACTTAATTAATAAACATTAATTCTGTTTCGTATTAATATTATTTAAAACAACTTACTTACGCTCAGAACTAGCTATAATAATTTCTAAACTTCTATCAATTCTCTACAAGATGTTTTAAAGTTTTAAAAACCATGCTCAAAGAGTCATTGTATATCTTTTAGAAGACAGGCAGGCGTAGTAACTATTTATATCTTTAAAATGATTGTACGATGTGTAAAATAAACATATTTAAGGTCCTTATCTAAGGAATACAATCGGAACTCCATTTCTGATTACCTAAGTGCCTAATCTATCCATTAATTTATCAGCCTCTCCCATTAACTGGTTGTAATTTTCACGTTATATTTTCTACGACGGCGGACTTTCTGCGAAAATGAATTTAAAAGAATTAAAGAGATAAAAAGATTCTATACAAGAGATTTCAAATCGTTGATTTTATCGTTCATCTTACTTACTGTTATAAATGTGAAAGTTGGATGGATGGATGTTAATTAATCACGCCAGAACGCCTGAGCGTATCTGGATAAAACTTGGCACAAACAAGTAGTAGGTATATATGTAGTACTAGTAGTACTACTACTACGTAATAGAGTAAACGCTATCTCTTAAAATAACACGCTTATCCTATAAGGAAAATTCCTAGCATATCGATATCAATTTAAATAATAGATATGATAATAATATCATACTTCATTCGTAAACGTTTTAATCAGCAATCGGTAATGTATCGATGTATGAACCGCACCTATTGCACTAACCCGGAGCCCATTCTTAGACCTCGTGTTCCCCATACATTAGACAGGCTTAGTATTCTGTGGAGGGGTTAAGTTTGGATACACGTTTATCGAACAAACCTGAAAATCTAAGAAAAGACTTTCTTTCCGTACAGATATGGTATAGAATATTAACAACAAAAATAAAATCGAACTTTTACGCGATTTTATTGCAATGTTTTGTTACGTGATGTTTCAAACGCTTTACAGTAAATTTTTCACGAGATATTCTAAGGTTTTTGACGTCTCAAAAATCATATATAGGTATTACAGACAATCTATTTATCCACAAAAATTATAATAATTGGTAAGAAAATAGAAATTACAAATGAAAAGTCAAAAGAAAAATATTCGTCAAATTTTCACAGTTTAAACATTTCAGTCTCTTTACTTTGGTTTTTAGAAAACAGTTAAAATTACTTTAATCTATTAAAGGCTGAATAAATGATAAGATTTTATCAGTTTAGTTAAATTCTTTGCAGCAATGATTTCCATCGGCAAAAATAGAAATTAAATAGATTTAAATATTCTTTTTAAGGAAGCGAACGTTTAAAATCATATCACGTGCGCATAATCATCTATTATTTCTTATGGCCCGTTAACATTTAATTAATTACTGTGACAATTAATGATTAATTATATAATGCGAAACTTGTCATTAATTCATGCTTGAAAATAATAACAGCGCCTTAATACGATAGACGTTTAGCGAAGCTGTACATAGTGATTGCCTCGGTGGTGTAGTGGCTAGCATGTACGGCTGCACACTCGGAGGTCCTGGATTCGAGTTCCGGGTCGAACCAAGTTTAGTTATTGAGTCTTTCTGTATAGTAAGTCTGAGTAACAGCCCGGAGTTGGGAAGTAGGCGGTGCTTCACCCCCGTGCCTCGGAGAGCACGTAAAGCCGTCGGTCCTGCGCCTTAACTCTCACTGGTCGTTCCACCGGAGTATGAGAGTGACAGGAATAGAAAGTACACGTTGTGTCTGCGCGTACACTTGTGCACATAATATCTCCTGCGCAGTTGGCTAGTCTCAATAAGATTGGCCGCCATGGCCGGAATCGGCCAGGAGAACATAATCACATAGTCATTTATTACAAGTGAATCACTTGTCGCAACCCTACAAAATTCATCATGACTATGCACAATATGTGTGTATATTCCCATTATATCCCAAATATAACTGGGAAGTACAGAGTGATAACTCTTGGTACGAAACACACTATTTTCCTTGTATTGTATGGCTCCCAATACAACAACGCGTTTCGACTACAAATTATGGATGTAAATATTTACCTCGGGTACCGTTATACGAGTAGTAACTGTGTTCCTTCTCAAGGGATCAGGGAGTTCTAGATGGTCAATATGTTAATATTTATATAAATAAAAATAATAATATAAATAGGACTGTATAAGCAAAGCGTGGCAGGCGTTAATTATGTAATAGGTTCAAATTTTCCCTAAGGTAAATGTATACTCTATATCGTGATTCGTGCTTATGTGTTTCCAAACTGGGTAAAGAGCCACGACCTTGGTATTCTAACAAGTAATCTCATGGTTTACGTTTAAAGCAAGGAAGTCAGTTCATTGTTTTACGAGTGCTAGTTATTACAAAAGCCAATGTATTTCACAAATATTATAAATCTTACTTCTTACTAGTATTATAAATGTGAAAGTTTAGATGTTTGGATGTTTGTTACTCAATCACATCAGAACGATTACACAGATCTGGATGATCTTTCCTGGCCGGTGAGACCAACACAACCACCTGTATGTATACAGGTGGTATGCATAAATAAATGCATTTTCCAACCTTACAAAAAATACATTAGCGACTATAAGAATTGACTTGATATAAAAATTGACTTAAAAGTTCTTGCACATTTCTTGTTTTTTAATGTTTTTTTAACGTTTTCTTGTCAATAAAACTATAATTAATCAATTTATATAACAAGATTATTCAATTGATTTAATCATAGCTCTTACATGCTTATTAATTGTTTATTAGCAGTACCTACTAATACTCTGAGTATGATTACTCGTAGTTGGGATTTTCGCAAATTGCATGTCATGTTCATATGCATATGAATCAGTATAGGTCCTTGTTTCTACATACATACTCTATACCTATAAAGAGTTTCACAGATTCATAAATATCTCACAACACAAAAGTTTGTTATTATTTCTGTACTAGCGACTCACCCTCGATTCGCTCGATTTGGTCTCTAGGTGATTCTATAAATTGACATAACAATTTTATTTATGAACCGATTCAAATAAAACAAATACTAAATGTTAAGTGAAACTTACCACAATACATTAATGAAAACCGCAAAATCAGTCGTTTCTGAGTTAGCGCGTACAAAGACACAGACAAACAAAGATTTTTTTTAAAAATTACTGTTTTTGGGTTTTATTGCATTCATAGAGATCCACAATAATAGTTTTTTTCTCAAATATCTTCCATGTACAGACAGCAATCAGTTTAAATTTTATTATATGTATAGATTATACAAATATCCGAAAAATTATCGGAGCTAAACAGCGTTAAAACTATTGTCAGGTAGAGAATCTAATCAAAGAGATTCCCATCAACGTGATCCACGTGTAGTCACTCTGCAGTATTTGACGTCAATAAAATTGAATACTAATTATTATCTTACATAACTATAATATGATAATATTGAATTTATTATACAAGAAACTATTTTATAGCTCGCGATTATTTTACAATTAATTTATTTTATTGTAAAAAAATCTCGACATTTACTTTATTTGTAACAAGATATCATAATTTTTATAATCTGTGGTTATTTTAAATTTAAAAAAAAATAACAGTATTGAAGTTAAACTGAACCCTTAACCTTCGGAAATTATCCTGCAGATGTCGAATTAATAAAAATTAACATTAATATAACATATGAAATAAACTACGAGTATATGCATATCCGTATACATAATATAACTATATATGTATGCTATATATATATATATATATATATATATATATATATATATATATATATATTCATAATATAACTATATATATAAATATATATATATCATGATTTCACTGTTAAAGAATATATACATAATTAGGGATTTAAAACGGTATAAGTAGAAAAGCTTTTGAAAAAATATCTTTGAAAGGCACAAATCGACATGTCTTATGAAAATTAGAATAAAACAAACAAAACATGGGTAATTTTTTTTTCATTCTTTGACATCAGAAAGGAACAATACTATTTGCGTTTACATTAACCTTAACGGTATTTTTCTTTAAGTGATGTTTTATAATGAGATTCAAATGAATACGTACTAAAATGCCTTTTAATTTTTATTACTTTAAATGTCAGTATTTGACAAATATTTGAAAATTTTATTTTTATTTTAATGAGATAATGTCGTGATATATGAAACCTATAGGTACCTTTAAGCTATTTCATTGTAAGATAAAATTATATAACATAAACTAAAAAAAAGAAAGAAATACAGTTCTGGTTTCTTTTATTATCAGATCCTCTTAGGACTGGAACATTACCGGATAGTTTTTAACTAAATTTATACCTAATATATGGTTAATATTTTTTATTTAACTTTCACTTAACTTTTTCATTGAATGCATCGAATTGAACACTAGGTAACCCATCATGAATTGTATCGATACATTGTAGGAATAGGTGTTTTATTTTATTCTGAGTATTGATAGCGAAAACATTTATTTTTATTTCAGATAATAAAAGTATATTGAAAGGCGTGAGCGGATGTTTCAAGCCGGGAGAATTGACGGCCATCATGGGCCCTTCCGGTGCAGGCAAAACAACGTTGTTAAACATCCTGGCCGGTTACTCGTAAGTGTAAAATTATTAATTAGATATTACTGAAGCGTGTTTTTAATTTAAAAAATAAACTTTTTTGTCGGAATTTTCTGCGGTTTTGTTTTACGTTTTTCCTTCCATCGTAACCATGTTTGCTGTAAAGCATTCGAAACTTTGGAATCAACAAAGCAAAATAAGACTGCGATAAAATTCGAAAATGCTTTTATTTAAAATATCTAATATTCATACAAATCTAAGAGAGTATTAATTTCTAAATGTTGTTTTGTTTTTTAAGTAATAAAATAAATATATTTTAATCATTATTTTTGTTTAGTACAAAAGGCGCAAAAGGTATTATAACAGTAAACGGTGTCAGCGCATGTGCGTCGCAGTCGACAGGTCGGGGCGGCGCGAGATATATCCGCCAGCACGATGACCTCCGAGTTCATCTCACCGTCTATGAATCCATGTCTCTTGCGGCTGCGCTTAAACTGGCCGACTTCAACTCACAAGAACGCAAAGAGAAAGTAAGATTTTGGACGCAGAGAAAGTTGTGTCACTATTACAAAAATTACTATCCTTAGTCTACTTTTCTTATATAACTATGGTAATAGCTATCATTAGAATTTTATATATGTAAAATATATTCTTTGTTCATCAATAACCAGTATTTAAAATTTCATAATTAACTCTTATGTTTTATGTAACTTACCACTTTGACTTACATCTTTATTTTTTTAAATTAAAAAAAAAACAAAATGATTTATAATTAAAAAAATCCTATTAAAGAACTTAATATATCTTATTCTATTAAAACTACTAATGCTAATGTTTAATTTAAGCAGCATTTAAAGTACTCGTTAATTTTAGGTATTGGAAGTATTAGCACTTTTGGGCCTCAGTGGAACGTCCCGGACACTGTGCAGGGATTTGTCTGGAGGTCAAAAAAGAAGATTGGCTGTAGCTTTAGAGTTACTGTCAGATCCTTCTTTATTATTTCTTGATGAACCAACAACGTAAGTATCATAAGACTTATTATTTCTAAATTCGCGTTTGTCCTACTATAGTTATCGCGAAGAAAAAGAATCTTTATAAAATTTATTTGTCAAGTTCCACAGAAACTTCGTCATTTTTAATGATAGAAAGTATGTCACAAGTTTTTGCACAATGTGGCATTCTGACAGACTAATGAAACATTTAAATTTACTGATTTCGTATGTACATCCATACTAATATTATTAATGTGAAAGTATTGATTGTTTGTCCTTATTTTACGTTAAAACAGAGTGACGGATTGGCGTGGTTTTTTGTATGGTGATAGTTGGAGGGCTGGAGTGACATAGGCTACTTTTTACCGCGGGAGATGATCTTATTTTCACGAAAAAACACATTATTACACAACCCAAAAAAATATTTATGATCAGAATTACTTGAAACTTGATATTAATTTTCTTTTAATACAATTAAATAAATACGTGTTTTAATTTTTTTTGAAATTCATCCTCTAAGAAAGGAAGAAAAAAATAGGAGATTAAAGTTTGTATGAAACCTATCTTTTTAGAGTTTTTATTTTGTAGTTTTAGCGAGCGAAGCCGCAGGTTCTGCTAGTACATGTATAATTTGCAAACAATATACAGATACATGACCTGTGCTACTATTTTATTATAAATACCGATAAAAATATAAATAATGTTATCCGTTCATTGACAGTTCAAACACCGGTTTTATCATAATCAGAGTGTTGTATCATCTTTTGTTTTTAACCGACTTCCGATTCCAAAAAGGAGGAGGTTCTCAATTCGTCGAAATCTTTTTTTTATGTAGATATGTTCACCGATTACTGGAAGACACCTGAACCGATTTGGATTTTTTTTGTTCCAAAAGGTATAACTTCCCAGGTGGTCCCATATAAATTTTATCGAAATCGGTCGAGCGTTTTTTTAAAAAAATCAACAATAAATTTTTGTTTTAAATAAATTGTTGAATCGAATATGTTATTAAAAATCTTTCTTCTTAGAAATTACCTGCTTATTACGTCTACACTAAAAATAATAAAATACTAAATAAATAATAATAACCGACTTCCAGGCACTAACATGTAAAAAATAACTAAACGGAGGTTTTCATTTAGAATAGATACCTAATCAGATATTTTCGAAGTCGGTGCCAGCCTACAATATTTTAAGATATGAATATCTAATAGGTAAATATGTATTTTACGTATCGAAATATATTAGATTTGCTTTGCATTGGTGGGAATCAAAAATCTAAATAAATCCGCGAAAAAATCCGAAAAGATAGTTTTATTTAAAAAGAAGTTTAAACTGCACAGGAATATCACAAAGACTTTAAGAAGTATTAAAATCCATGCTAATATTAATATTATAAATGTGAAGTGTGTTTGTTTGTCATTCTTTCACGTCAAAACAGAGAGATGGATTGGCATGATTTTTTGTGTGATGATAGTTCGAGGACCGGAGAGACACATACGCTAGTTTTTACCGCAAAAGATTATCTCGTTCCCACGGGAAAATACGTTATACAACCTACAACGACTCATCATACCTACACACATATATATATATATATATATATATATATACTAACCGATAAGAAATAAAACATGTTCTGTTTTCACAGCGGCCTCGATTCCTCCGCATCGACGTCTCTCATTGCACTTCTCAGCGGCTTGGCTCGAGGGGGTCGCACTATCATAGCTACGATACATCAACCATCAGCTTTACTTTTTGAGAAGATAGACTCAATCTACTGTTTATCATCTGGTAGCACTTTGTATTCGGGATCCAGAGAACTTCTTCTGCCAGCAATGAGTAGTGCAGGATTAAGATGCCCTCCGTACCACAATCCTGCTGATTTCTGTAAGTAAATTAACTTTAATATACTTAGTACATGACTTTTTATGTTACATACACACTAATTTTATGAAAATTTTGAAAATGTTTCTTAAAATGTGATGCCTATTATCTACTAAACTAAGGCTACCTTTAAGACAACTTTCTTTCCTTCGCTTATATATATTCCTTTTAAGACATCAATTGTAAAGGTTCTGCCCAACTATTCTTTCTACGAGATTTTGATAGTGGTAGGTATACGAGTACAATTGTAGCTTTTTACCCAACATGTCAAAACGGTGATAGTCTGAAATTTAAAAATACGTTGGGGACTGAAGACTATAATGTATTAGGTACAACTGATATTTCAATAGATTAAGTGACTTAGGAAAATATTATATCAATTACGTCATATCTGCATCTGATTATCGATATAATAAAATACTTAATCAATGATGTTCTCCTAGCCGCTTCCGGCCACGGCGGCCAATCTCATTGAGACTAGCCAACTGCGCAGGAGATATTATAGTGCACAAGTGTACGCGCAGACACAAGTGCACTCTCTATTCCTGTCACTCTCATACTCCGGTGGGACGACTGCTCGACACGACCAGTGAGAGTTAAGGCGCAGGACCGACGGCTTTACGTGCTCTCCGAGGCACGGGGGTTAAACACCGCCAACTTCCCAACTCCGGGCTGTTACTGAGACTTACTATACAGAAAGACTCAATAACTAAACTTGGCCCGACCCGGGACTCGAACCCAGGACCTCCGAGTGTGCAGCCGTACATGCTAGCCACTACACCACCGAGACAGTTAAATCAATACTAATATTATAAAGAGGAAATACTAATCCGATTTGAAAAATTCTTTTTGCATTAGATAGCCTATTTATTGAGGGAGGCTATAGGCTTGCTATCTTGCTTTATGTACCGATAACCTACAATTGCATTAGAGTTTCAACTTAAACTATCGTTTCGGATTTTTTCGCGGATTTATTTGAATTTTTGGTTCCCGACGTTTTGAATGCTTTACAGCATTCATGGTCACGTGACACGACGTTAAAAAAATGCGAAAAGATTGTTTTATTTAAATGTCAAATATTCGCGTAAATCTAAGAATGTATTAGAGTTGTAACATTGGACTTACTCACACAATAATTATCATCATTGTCTTTATTTTTATGGATGACATAATTATTGTTCTCCTTGTACTATCTGATAATCTATTAAATGTAGGTACATTTTTCATGTCTTATACTACTTATTAGTCGTTGATTTAAGTCCAAAATTGATAAAAAAATTGCTATTAAGCTTGTGACTAATATAATTAAAATTACTATCTTATCATCAAATAATACGATTAAAAATAAAGTACTTGTATAAAAGTTTTTTTTTATCTATGTATATAACTAAACTGGCATTTTCTCGCGGCTCCGCCCACGTCGTTTAATTTTGTAGAATTACTCCGCTTTCGTATATATCATCATAGAATGATGTTAAATTTTACTTTCTCAATAAATGGGCTATAAAATTTAAAAATATTTTTTTAATTCGGACCGTTAAATCAAACAAACTCTTCAGTTTTATATATTAGTATGCATAGATATTAGATATACCAAGTTGATATTTTATAAACACTATTGGCAATCGAAAATTATTATACACTAGCTACTGTCCGTAGCCTAAAGTTAAATCCTTCCTAGACAAAGAAGATCCGTCCTAAATATATATATATATATGTTCCTGTAAATCTTAGGTTAAACGAGTAAATCTTAGGATTTGCCAACTCATGTTAGTAACATATAGACTTTAAAACAAATAATAATTCATATCTGAGTAAACAAAATTAAACAGTTTCTTGAACTTTATAATATTACAAAACTGCGGATACTCCGCATCTTCGTCCGCATTCAAACTTCCGATAAAAGCATCAGTTTTACAATATTATATGGAAATCTGCCCGCTTTGTGATTGGGCAGTAGCATGATGATATAGCCTATATTAAAGCCTTCCTCAATAAACTGCCTATCTAATTCAAAAAGATTTTTTCATATTGGATTTGTAGTTCCTGAGATCAACGCGTTCAAACAAACAAAAAAACAAACAAACAAACAAACAAACAAACAAACAAACAAACAAACAAACAAACAAACAAACAAACAAAATCTGTCTCTTTATAATATTAATATAAATTTTTAGATATATGTAGATATGTTTTTATAGCTCTAAGGGTCGTTTGCCATTTATAAATATCTTTGTCCATGATTGAACTAAATGTCTTTGGCACTTGACCCATTATATTAGTACAATATCATTATCTATCTTTATCTCCTAGACTCAATCACATGCCTATAATAATTATTGTCTCGTGTTGTGACAACAGCGACGAATTTTGTTCGAATGAAACTTTTTAAAATATTATTTAGTAAAATCAACTAATAAAATGATAAAATTTTTATTAGCAGTTATAGAAACATTGAAAATTAAAAGATTTCATTTGTTATCAGTTGTTACTTGTCACCTATTAATCATTGGTATCGATAGTAAATATGTAGTTCATGACTAATATATATAATACAAGGTACTTCCTCCTATATTGGAGGATACATTCGTAAAGTTTGCTATTAAATGATTAACAATCACTGTTTCCTCCTTTGTTCCCTTTGAAAGGTAAAATGAGATAAATCAATACCAAAAGATTGTTGACCGTTTATTGTTCGTATGTTTATTTCATTCACCTTATATTTTTACATGTTCAGAAGAATTATTCTGAATATATACAACATATTAAAACATGTTTTATTAAAAATTCTGTAGTTCCACAAATTTAACGGTTGCAAAGATGAACAGACTAAATAAAACTATTTTTTTGGATTTTTAGCTGATTTAATTTTATTTTTAGTTCCCGACGATTCGAATGCTTTACAGCAATCATAATCACATAGAGACTATGGTTATGGTTAAACCAAAGTACCTTACAATATTTGTTAATTTTAATTTTAAGCCATTATTATGATTTTGATAAGTTTTACAATGGAATATAGGAATATTATTTATTTATTTTGTAGCTACTACTGCTATAAATATTAAAATTTTAAAAACTTTATTCATTAGTAATCTTATTTAGTGTTGCTATTATTATATTTATAAACATATAGAAAAAATTAAAAATATAAATTATTTGAGTACTATTATTGTTCTATATGTATTTTTTTAATTAAGAATATTAATTTTAATTTAATTTGCTATTATTCAAAAACAAAATATTAAGCAACACATAAATGTAGCATAAGAGTAAATTGGCGCATAAATCCGACAAAATAGCTTTATTTAAAATGTCAAATATTCGCGTAAATCTAAGAAAGTATTATATAAACAGACTAAATTAAGAAATAGACTGGACTAACTAACTTTTTTGGCCTGTCCATATAAGTCCTGAATGTGGTTTGATATCTATACGAAGGAAACTTTGTTATGGCTATATAGATATTCTTCCTTATAAGGTACACAAAATATCAATATGGCAACTAGATTTTCTTTAGAATCAAAGCATGATAGTATGCGACATTAATTTCCAACTAGTATGGCATTTTCCATTAACATTTAACATATTATAAAGATAACAATGAACAGATAATAGAATATCCGTTACCCTCTAACCTACCTGACAGAAACGTTTTGCGTCATCGTTTCCCAAATAGTTAAAGCTGAACTATTGTAAAAAAAAAACAGAAATATCATCATTGCTTAGAGGAACGCCTACTCTTGTGACGTAATCGGCAAAGGTTTCACTTTAAAGTAATGCAAATATTTGTACAGCTCTTCTTTAATGTTCTCATTTTGACACGTGTATTTGAATGTTACTCTTTGAGCAATACATAAATTTAATAATTATTAAAATAAGACGAAGGCGAAGAAAAACCGAAACTCTAAGATTTCAGATTTAAAAATCTTCTCACGTGAAAAGGTCTTAAGATGTCTACAGAACTTTTTCATGTCCAGTTTTTCGTATCCTGTCATTAAAAAAACTACTGTCTCGTTTGTCTAACAGCTGATTTGATTGTCTCTCGTTGTCTGAATGGTGTCGCGGAAGTCTTGTAACACTCGTATGCACTTTCGATTTTTTTGTATTTTAAAACATTTTTTATACTATTAATTATTAATTCGGATATTTTAAAATAAATTTTGATTACAAAATAAATTTTGTTTTACGTTATAATTTTTTTTCTAAATATATATCTAACCTACAATTATGTAAAATATTATATAAAGTTGTGAAGAATATAAAATTCTTTTCTAGTAATGGAAGTAGCATCAGGTGAACACGACATTGATTTGTCGAAAGCCGCCAACATCATGCTTCAGTACAAAGCAGAATCTACATCCAGTGCGTGGGAAGATGTGCCAGTTATATCATCGTTCTCAAATACCTTAAGTGAGTTATAGATTCTTCAATATATTACGTTAACATCTTATAGTATAGATTTGATAAACTGTTGACTTACTGCGGTGGGGATGATAAAGATTAATTTAGAAAAAAATCATAAATAGGAAAATTTTGTTTTTTTTTTACAAACATGTGTTACGGAACCCTAATCCCACGAATATGCTGACATATCAAATAAATGTACGTTTCCCAGGCGACCACCGCCGAGTTCCCCGAATTAGTTTTGTAATGCCGCATAGTTTTAATTTAGTAATTTTATTAATTGTAATACTTTTCCAATCACTCTTTATTCATACTTCGAGTAAAGACGTCGTTAGTTTTAAGATATATAATTATTGTATTAATGTAAAATTAATAAATAATTATTAATTATTCGGTTTTTTTTCGACCTCCTGACTGCTGCAAACGTAATTCATGTTTAACACATGTAAACATAAATATTTTCCTTAACATTTTCAGGCGTGGACATAGAAATGCAAGATAAACAATTAAGAAGTAATGCAAAACACCAGAAAAAGTTCTCTAAGAACATATACAGACCGTCGGGATATCTGCGACAAACATGGATACTCCTTTATAGAAATTATCTGATGACAACGAGAAATTACGTAAGTTTAAACTTATCAACTAACTAGCATTGCCCGCGTATTAGTATACTCTTATATTGCAGTTTTTGTATATTTTCTCAGAAATGAGACATTTTCCCGCGGTATAAAGTATCCTATATGTTGACCCGGATAACTAGTTATCATCATACCAAATTTCATCAAAATCCGTCCAGTGGTTTTTCCGTGATGCGGTAATAGACAGACAGATGAAAATTCTAAAAACTATAGATTCGGCCTCTGTATCGATAATAATGTCTATTTCAATAAAATTTTCCAAAAAATATTTAATGTACAGATTCGGCTCAGTTAGAATTTTATTATATGTATAGATTTAAATAATATACATGTATAATTCTTAATCGTAAGATTCTTTCCCGGTCCCATATAATATATCCCACACAATTGTGGCACGCAATGGATAGGTGATCCATTACCAAATTATTTTATAAGCTATGCTATACAATTATACACATACAAGAATATAACTACCTATACTAATATTGGTAAACTGATAGGATCTTTTGCTTTTTTATTTATTTAAACGGGTTATCTCTAGAACTATCAGTCACATGAAAAAAAATATCATATAGGCGATAGCCTATAGAGGAAGGCTATCTAACATCATGCCGTGATACTTTCTCAGATTTACGCGAATATATACATTTTCAATGACACTATCTTTTCGGATTTTGTGACAGTTTTATTTTATACTAGTTTTTGCCCGCGGCATCACTCTTGTGATAAGAGAGGCGGGGTTCAAAGGTAGCCTATGTTCGATTCCCGGATGCAATCTTCTCTTGCTATCTTACTCTCTCTATACGTTCTTACCAAAATCTGCTTATTCAGGTGCTTAAGCGTGAAAAGGTGTTACTATCACATTTATAATATTGAAGTATGAAGTTTTGTTTCCGACGTTTCAAATGCTTTACAGCTATGAGTTACGACTCTTACGAACGGAGCAATTGTTATATAAATAAAAAAAAAAACATCGTGTGAAAAGCCGCGATACCTACGACGCAACGTTACTTAGTACATAAACAGTTCTACTGTACTACTACTAGGTACAATTTTTTATTCTTATATAATTGTTAGTAGTGCAATTAAAAAATAAAATACAAATCGTATTAACTAAAGAAAACTATGCTAAGTTTCAAAGTCATATTAAACTTATTATAATGTAAGAGTTTTTACAATTTACAATTTTCATTTTAGTAATCTTAAAAGTCAATTTAGCACTAATTATACCGTTTTATAAAAATTACTAAGTGAATATTAGATAATGCAAAAGTAATCTTTTCATTGTGTAAGTCATTTGTTTTCTTTAACCGACCTAAAAAAGAAAAATGTTCTCAATTTTTTTTTTTTTGATACCTTCGCAATCGTCAATCAATTTCTCAAATCAATATCAATTTTCAAACATAATTCTTTAATTCATGAATAGCTTATACCTCAAGGATAATCCCTTATAAATTTCATTTAATTTTCGTTTAGCATTATTTTTTACCATATAGAGTTAAATGAAAATGTCGTCATAAAAGCATAATAATATGATAATCAATGGAATGGATAGTAATATTTGAGGAAATTGATTAAAAAAATCATATTTATCTAGTTAATATTGGTTTAAACTCGTTTGGGAACCAGATTTGTGATCTTTTGTGTTTCCCAATAACTAGAATAATTCACTTTGGTTTTTTACTATAATATTTACAGACAAACAGATGTGATATTATAACATTATCTAACCGGTGACTAGTAAGTAATTCTTTGTCCAACCAATCAATACCTATATCAATTTTGCTGTATGTTTTTACTAGCGGCTCACCCTCGCTGCGCTCGGGTTCGCCTATAGGAAAACAAAAACAAACCTATCCCACGGGAACCGTACATTTTTCCGGGATGAAAAGTAGCCTATGTGTCATTCCAAACTATAGTCTATCTTTGTGCCAAATTTCATCCAGATCCGGTTAGCCGTTCTGGCGTAAAAGAGTAACAAACATCCATACATGTATACTAACAAACTTTCATATTTATAATATTAGTATAGATATTCAGCTATAACAAAAAGCTTAAAGGTTACACTAACCTATACGACCCTCCGTGGGAACAACGCCATGGTTGTTGTGGTCTGCCAGTGCTGCTGTGGTCTGTTGTGAGCAGAGTAAGCGATCCTGTGACGCCCCCTTATGACGGGGGAGGTTCTGTTGGGGTCCTATACGACCTTAAGTCAAGAAATCTTCACTAAATACTTATGAGAGGAATACGTACATGATGGCATATTGAAATTAAATTTCTTTTGAAATAAATTGGCATTTTGAAATTGAATAATTGAATTTTGAATCTGAAATACATAAGTTTTTTTTAATATCAATATGTTGCCCGTGAGTTTATCCAACTATGTATCTCCATTCACACTCGAAGCCGTAATAACATGTAGAAGTAATAAATAAATTTTATTACAAATTTAATCATTTATAATATTATTGTGATTCAACTACATTTTAATTTATCAAAAAAAAAAACTTTTTCAGTCACTATTCATGTATCGCGTTGCTGCACATGTAATCATCGCGTTGATTTTCGGATACCTTTACCTGGGCGTTGGTGGGGAAGCCAGCAGTGTGCTGGGAAACTATGTATATCTATATGGATCGATGCTCCTCGTTGTGTACACCGGAAAAATGTCTGTCACGCTATCCTGTAAGTACATTAATAAATTTAAAATGGAAATTGTTAATTTTTTTAAATAAATACGCGTTAATTAAGAAAAAGGAAAAAGCCTCCGCCAAATGGCTTATAATTATTCATTTATACAAAAATCTTTGTCTAGTCCTAAGTACTGGCACAAATTCACACTATTTTTGTTGTAGTTTATTATATTACGTCGTGTCACTTTCTTGGTACCAAAAGTATGTTTTCTTGCGGAAACTACTAACAAAATTCTTAAAAAACCAAATCGATTGACTTGATTCAAAATGTATATAATATTATGATAAAAGTTATAGAATAAGTGTTTAACAAAAAGTCCTTCATCCATAAACGCTTTTAAACCCACATACATACATACATACATACATACATACATACATACATACATACATACATACATACATACATACATACATACATACATACATACATACATACATACATAAAAATAAGAGCGTCAACATAATAATTTAACTTAGAAATTAGAGGCCTCAGATAGTAAGTAAACTAAAATAATACATCAGTCTGAAGACAAAATGGCCTTCCAGCCATTGATATCAGCCATTGATATCTAGAAATTTCGCATCGTTATCGTATTATGTTAATGCTTTTTAATTTATTATTTGAATAAACAACTTAATTATTCTTAATAAATTAATATTTTTGCATTAATGTCATCAATATCAAAACTGACCTAAATAAAACTAGCGAACTAGCTGAAATTTGATAGGTGTATTATGTAACCACTAAATATAATATAATAAATATCTTCTATAAATATATACAATAATAAGTAGTTAAAATTATAAGTCGATTATAGTTCATTTTCTTTTTCAGTTCCACTGGAGATGGATATATTGAAAGGCGAATATTTTAATCGATGGTACAGTTTAGGTCCATATATCTTCTCGATTCTGGCTGTAGAGTTACCATTTCAGGTAAATCTTTTTTTTCATAAGCATTATCTATATATTTTAGTGTATCTTGTTTTTTTTTTTGAAACAAATCCTGTCAGATAACACCTTAATCTTTCCACGAGGAAACGATAAACACTTTATAAGACTGAAAAACTTTGTATCCAAATAATTTGCGCAATGATGACAATACACATAACAGTAAATATGATTTTAAAATTTCATCAGGCGCACATATTGCAAATACAATTTCTTTAATATAAAATTTTATCCTATATTCATATCGTGTCTAAACGGTATTTTTTTAATACTATCATTATATCATAACACTTATATCATATGCAACGTAGTGCTTATCGAACCCGTGACCGCTATTTGAAAAGAAAATATGCCATAACCCATGCAAACCGAGAAGCCACACCGTTTCATTAATTCATCTCTTCCAATTTAAGTAAATCAAATACTAGCGAAGTACCTTGGCTTCACTCGGACGTCTCTCTTGGTGCCTAACAGTCATAATCTACCTGTGTACTTTTCATCCAAATCCGTCCAGCTGTTTCAGCGTGTAGCGTATCGTACAAACATACACCCACATACAAACTTTCGCCTTTTAATAGTAGTTTAATTAAATATTTATACTGTTTTAGATGATATCATGCGTTTCGTACGTAGTGTTGTCGTACTGGCTAACTGACAACCCCCTAGAGCCGACCCGCGCTACATTGTTCCTCGCCACGATAGTCGCAACATCCCTCTGCGCCCAAGCCTGGGGGTACTTCATTGGATCGACCACGCCAACCAGGGTATAAATCTAAATTGTCACCATATACCTACTTTAAAATTGAACTAATCCATTAATTTTAATCTAAAAATCCATAAAACTCTCTCTTATTGTACTATTATTTATTTGATTACAAAACTCATAATATAACTTTTTTGTTTATCATTTATATTTCATAACAATTTATTTTTTATATTTTTGTATAAATTAACTTTATATCATTTTCAGATCGCAGTCTTTATAGGACCAGTTTTAGCGTGTCTGTTCTCCGTATTTGGTTTTTGTCTGGCTTTACGAGATACGCCGTACGCCTTCAAATGGCTGCACCATATATCATACTTCAGAGCGGGCTTCCATGTTGCTGTTCACTCTATATATGGATTCAATAGAACGAAAATGCACTGTGATAAAGGTGCGTAATTATTTAATCACAAAAGTATTTATTTCAATAACAAATATTAATTATTGTTTACTGAGTCACGATAATATTACATACAGTATTCCATCTTCATACAAACGGTCGAAAATCGAGTTATATAATAACTACGCGCCGCGAGTTCGGTATACACTAGGCAGACAACCGTCCGGGGCTGCCAGATCGTATAATTGGATACGAAAATTGTATAAGATGGTTATGTTATGTAACTTTTATAATTGGATACAAAAATAAACATTTTATTCCTCCCGTAACTTCGCTAATGTCAAACAAAAAAGTATAGTGACATCGTATGTTTTAAAAATCAAAATTAATTAAATAAATTAAAATTAAAAATTAAAGTATTTTTAATTAAACTTTTTATATTAATGCGGGTTTTTATACTATTAAATTGAACAATAAAGCTTTACGTACGTCTCAGTCGAGGCGCTAATATTTTAAATCTCACATACCATCCTTATAAATTGAGACTTTTTAATTAAATCTACTAATAATATTTTTTAAATAAAAAATATAATATTTGAAATCACAAAACTAGAAAGAAACTGAAGTAGGTAGATGAAATTAAAATACTGGCCGGCGGGCAGCCCCAGAATTATTTCAAGGACAGGGCCGAGTTACAATACTGTATGTATAACATTACCGTGACTGAGTGGTCGTGTCGAGCTATGATCCCATCGGACTTAAGAGGGCGGAAAGGAATAGACAGTGCACTCGCATCTGCGCGTACTCTTGTGCGCTATAATATCCACTGCGCAGTTGGCTCGTCTCAGTGAGATTGGCCATCGTGGCAGATATCGATCAGGAGGACATCATTTATACTGTATTACTGTACTTTACACACCATATTCTTTAAAAACGTAAACCATGTTTAAAAATATATATTAAATAAAATAAAAAATAAGAAGAAAGGGTAGCTAAATAAAAGAAAGTCATTAATAAAACCACTAACTGTAAAATTATTAGTAACTAGCGACTCACCCTAGCTTCGCTCGGGAGCATCCCTTGGTACGTTTTAATTTTTTTGAGAGGAACCCTAATTCTTTTTCTAAAATAAAATTAACCTAAATTACTCCTTATAGTATCAACTATCTGCCAGTAAAAGTCGCGTCAAAGTTTAAGAAGAGTAACCGGAACAAACAGACAGACACACGGACAAAAAAAATGTTTTTTTTTCTTTATTATTAACCTACCGTATAGACTTTCATATGTATTTTGTAAAAAGTTGTTATTTTGACATTACAAAGAGACACTTCAATTTTATTTATTTGCATAAATAATATTATACAATAATAACTAAAAACTTTATAAATAGTGTACTGTAGTCACAGGTTTGATTTCCACTTGGCCCCAATTCAATCAGACGGACGAACTTGAGTATCATCACCTCATTAAAATATTGTTTAAAAACAGGAAAGACTTTAAATGTTATATATGTGTAAAGCATTATAAATACTTTATCCTGGTTATCTATAGGTACATAAAATAAAATTGTAACTGAGTCGAATCTGTACATTAAATATTTTTTGGAAAATCTTATTGAAATAAACATTATTATCGATACAGAGGCCGAATCTATAGTTTTTAGAATTTCTGTCTGTCTATCTGTCTGTTACTGCATCACAGAAAAACCACTGGAGGGATTTTAATAAAATTTTGTACGGTGATAGCTGGTTATCCAGGTCAACATATAGGATACTTTTTACCGCGGAAGAATGTCTCATTTCTGAGAAAAAATACAAAAACTGCATTGTAAGAGTATACTAATATGTAAAACCTAAGAATTTGATTTTTAGTCATCTGAACGCAGGTGGAGTCGCGGACAATGCTAGTTTCCTTATAAATATTTATTTTCTTAACTTATTTACCATTTTTGAATTATTATTTTTTTCAGAATATTGTCACTACATCACACCAAGTAAATTCCTTGTTGAAATGGATATGGCAACCATAGATGTCGGCGTCAACATGGCTATAGTATTGAGTACCACTGTTCTCATGCACGTACTTACTTGCTCCACACTTTGGTACAGACTTAATAAAAGATAAATTAGAATTTAAATTTTTAATACGACTGAAGAGTATTTATCTGTTTAATTTATGACATTGTGATAAATAGTAATCGATTGTATGGTCGAAATAAGACACCAGAATATAAAATTTTTGGATCCCATTTACATTAAATTTGCATTAACAGCTAAAATGTAATCAAACATAATTTATACCATACGAGCGTGCTTTTGCTTGCTTTTCCACTGTAACTTTTTTGTGCAAGTCTCAAGACTTTTACTTGCACATAATCTGATCTTTACTTAGTTTATAAGTTATAAAATACCTCAAAGATTGCCTTAGTTCTATTTGGTGTATGGTCGTAGAATATATTTATTTAAGTTAATTCAATTAAAAGAATTTATTTGTCTATTTATTTAGTATATAAAGCAAACATTTTATTTAATAATCTATACATATAATAAAATTGTAACTAAGCCGAATCTGTACATTAGATATTTATTGAAAAATCTTATTGAAATAAATATTATTGTTGATACCGAGGCCGAATCTCTGGTTTTTAGAATTTTTGTCTGTCTGTTTGTTACCGCATCACAGAAAAACCACTGGAGGGATTTTGATGAAATTTGGTATGGTGATAGCTGGTTATCCAGGTCAATATATAGGCTATTTTTTAACGCGGGAAAATATCTCATTTCTGAGAAAAAATACAAAAACTGCAATGTAAGAGTATTTTAATAAGTAAAACCTAAGAATTTGGTCTTTTGTCATCTGAGCGCGGGCGGAGCCGCGAGCAATGCTAGTTTATTCAATAAAATGTTTGCTTTTTAACCTCTTCCAATTAACCTCGGTGAGAAAATTGCCTACTTGCAAATCACAGCACTAACTTGGACCGAAAAAGTGCTATTTAATCTGTGTCTATAAAGAAGTGTCAACAAGTGATAAAGTAATTAGTACTATATACGGCTGTCGTTAGTTCCGAAAACAGATACAACGGAAATCCAATCATTGCCAATACTCATGGATTTTGCCCTTTATTTTATTATGTAAATATATCATAATAAAATTAATTTTCAACATACATACAGATACCTATTTCGTATTACAAATTAAAGTATGACAGCTGGCTTATGACAGAAAATAAACGTCATCAAACTAGTATTCAGAGACTATGTTTACCGCAGTTTTATTAGGTCTCTAGCATAGAGAAGTATTACATACTGGATCTCTAGTAAAGAACTGAGCTTCTACACAAAATGTATAATAAATTTTATATCTTGACTTACTATACTAATTCCTCAATGCCCTTTCCAAATTACTGAACTGGTATTTCTGTACAAAAAACTATAAATAATAACCATTTTAAATAAGATAGCTTTATTTAAAATGTCAAATATTCGCGTAAATCTAAGAAAAAAATAATCAATTCAAAAGTTTTTTTTTAAATCCTTACTCTTAGAGGATGAAAATGTGTTTTTACTTTTTATGAAAACTATCCTGTGTATAACAATTTGAAACTTAAAACCAAGTATTATTATCCTTTGAAATGATTACAAACATTTAAATGTTTTCGGTATACATCAAATAACACACGGACAAAGTCAGGGCACGTCGTTAGTAGGACGAAAACTTTACTATGAAGTATAATTTACCATTAAATATATAAACTTGATATTTATTTTAAAATAATGATTATATTAATCACAGAAAAGAAAAATATATCTCCCGTAATATAAATGGGAAACTGCTTATTTTTATCTAATGTTTTGAAAATTAAAATTTCAATAAGCTTAAATTAATTAAAATAATAATTATGGAACCTTTTTTCCTAGAATATAAAAATGGTGCTCTACGAATATTTTATCGATAATAAGTTGTGTTGTAGAAAGAAATAAATATGTATAATTAACCTAAGTTTTTTTTTTATTTATTGACCTTAGTAATAATTGATCGATCGAGGTTTTTTTTTAATTTGTCTTGTCAGATATATAAAAAAATAAGTATTGAAATATCTTAATAAGTATTGATATTTAGATTTCAATAGAGTGCTCTGGAAAGCCACCAATATGAGCGAGGTGTACAATATTTATCTTCCCAGGTACTCAACATTAACGATTACTGACAAGAACAACGATAAGAACCGGGACGCCTAATAGCTTGTTGTAAAGGGGAAGGTAACTAGGATCGAAATATATGTATTATACACGTACAAGGTCGATTTGCATGATTGTTTTATATGTTTGTGCCTTATAAAATTATTTATCGGTTATTTATTGTCACTATTCTATAGGTCTTTAAATCCTTTATTCTGTAGATACTTATAAATATAAATGCGTATTAAATTACAAATGCGAAAACTTTTTATACGCTGCATACATTATGTGGATACAGTGCGCTTATTGCAAAAAGACATGAAGCGAATCGCTGGCAAAAAATATTTAAAATAGATTATAATTTATAATAAAGTAATTAGCAACTATATTAATCATAAAATGGAAATAAATGAATATATTTTTCTGCTTGCTTTATCTTTTAATCTATCTACCTATAGCAAAAATGTTATAAAAAATATCATGAAAATAAAACTGTATCGTTTTAAATATAAATATTTTTAAGTTTTATGTATATTTATGTATATTACTAAGTACTAACGTAGTCTTCCTGTGTCAAATATCTTGGCGTTATTGACTCTAATGACTTGGAATGAGGTTGAGTCGGCTATCGGTCGAATTAGAAAATTATTGTATATTTTCAAGACCCTTAGAAATATTGCTGATCAACAAACTCTAAAGATCGTATATTTCTCGCTGGCACAGTCTGTTTTGACTTGTTGTTTATCTGCCTGGGTAGAGACAGGGAAAACTAGATTCCTCCATTTGGAGAGAGCCCAAAGAGCCGTGCTCAAAGTTATGCTTTGCAAACCAATCCGTTTTGCTACTTCTGAATTGTATATAATAGCTAAAGTCTTAACGGTTAGACAATTGTTTGTCTTAAAAACGGTATTACGCAAACACATTGAGCTACCTTATGTTAAAAATGCTATAAAATGACGAGCTGGCCGCATTTGCAATATGAAACCTACTCGTATTGCTCTTGTTATAAATCATTATGACTATTTCTCGGCTAAAATCTACAACAAATTGAATGCGTTGATAAACATCCATCCTCTGTCTTACTGGCAATGTAAAAATAAAGTGACTAAGTTTTTGCAAAACCTCAATTATAAAGAGACTGAATCACTCGTTTATGATAACTAATGAACATAAGTTAATTGTATATTTATAAGATAATTTTGTGAATTGTTATTTATAAACTTTGTACGTTATGTTGCAGATATATATTAAATAGTGTAGTACTAACGCTTTTTTTTACGTTGGGAAATGTATTTAAGCACGAGGTGTGGGACTCACCGGCGGAGCCAGTACTACCCACTAAAACCCAACAAAACCTTCCCCCGTCTTAATGGGGCGTCGCAGGATCGCTTACGCATTCAACTACGACGCCCCGACGGCTGGTCTGCCGAAGCAGACCACAACTACCACGGGGTTGCTCCAAGGTCCACTCTGCTATCAGAGAAGTACCAGGATTAACCCGCATGGTACACCGCCCTCCGAAGAGGGCCATCTCCCACCACCCACCGAAGGGGGCCACCTCCCTGTGCGTTTCTTGGCTTCGCGCCCGGCTGTATTGCCGGGCACTACTGTGTCAACCCAAAACCCCCACACCACGACAAGTGCCATCCGCGAAATAATCCGAAAAGATAGTTTTATTTAAAATGTCAAATATTCGCGTAAATCTAAGAAAGTATGATATACGTAAGGTAAGCGATAATTCGGAACGGTGCGCGTTCGGCTGATGAGTTTTTTCTAGAGGCAAACCCAAGCGAAGCGACGCGCGACGGTGAGCCGCTAGTATCACATAAGAGATTGAAGTAACAGGATACCAAAGGAGTCCATCTGATCGATTTGACTTTTGTAATAGAAAAATGTATTTTAAAATGTAAGAAAATGGTAAACGAAAGGAGCCCCGAGAATTGCGTTGCCTAGGGGCCCTGATAGGGTTAATCTGGCCCTGAATGTTTGTGTACCGGGCTATTGATAGGTACAATAAAACCTCCTCTGTTTGTAGTATTGTTGATCGAAGTCCGTTTGTGACAGAAAAAGATCTGGCTATCCACGTAGTGTTCGTACGAAAATGGCGATCAAAACATTAACGAAAAGAATTCGAAGAAATCCTGTCCGAAAGCAAAAGATTTTATCTCGGGAGATGAAGATAGAACCTAGAATTATGTCGCTTATTTTAAAAGATGACTTAGCACTTAATGCCTATAAGAGAGACGCACTGGTCATTTCTTAACTGATAATTTAAAAAAGAATGGGGTGGTAAAATCAAAACAATTACTTAAGCGGTACGCAAAGGGAGGTTACATAAAAATTTTGTTTACGGATGAGAATTTTTTTACAATTGAGCAATATTATAACAAACAAAATGACCGTATTTATGCTCAAAGCTCTAAGGACGCTTCCCAATTAGTCAACGGAGTACAAAGTGGGCATTATCCAACTTCAGTGATGGTTTGGTGGGGTTTAAGCTATGAAGGAGTGACTGAGCCATATTTTTGTGCAAAAGTTATCAAAACATCGGCACAAGTGTATCAAGATACCATTCTTGAGAAGGTAGTTAGGTCTTTTAACAACACCATGTTCAATAACCAAGAATGGTCCTTTCAGCAAGACTCGGCGACGGATCATAAAGCTCGAACCACGCAATCTTAGTTAGAAACCCACGTTCCGGACTTCATCAAAGCTGAAGACTGGCCGTCATCTAGTCCCGATATTAATCCGCTGGATTATGACTTATGGTCAATTTTAGAGAATATGGCTTGCTCTAAATGCCATGATAATTTGGAGTCCCTAAAACGATCCATACAATTAGTAGTGAAGAATTTTCCCATGGAAAGAGTGCGTGCTTCTATTGATAACTGGCCTCATCGTTTAAAGGACTGTATTGCAGCCAATGGAGAACACTTCGAATAA